AAGAAAGGTATGGGGAGGAGGGCGGCTGAGATAGGGGGCACCATGGATTTTTGCATCAAGAGCATGGATCCGGATTATCACGCTGAAGATTGGACGTAAACAACTTTGCAAGGCTACTTGAATGGCGACGTAATTGTTGGGGAAGGAGTAAACTGTGGTCAAAGGCTTCTACATCTTTCGTACTTCTTTGTGGAGCGACTTCTTCTGCTCTGTATGATTATCTTCGGTGACGAACCTTTCGTTGATGAAACTGTCGGTGACGAAGAACATATCCATGACCAACGAATCGTTACAGGTTCCTCGCGCTAAGAAAAAGAGCTTCACTTACTTCTGAGGGCCTAACTACTGGTAAGAGTCTGCAGCAGTTGGCCACGCAGGGCTTCGAGTTTCGACAAGATACTATCGAATATGAACCCGTATCGGTATGGAACCGAAAGGTATCGCGGTGCGTTTAGCCCAGAATGCTCTGGGAGCTGCCCAAAGGCAACCCCCAAAACGACCACAAAACAAATTACTGGCTGCCACTTCGTGGTTTTCGGTCAAAGGAGTGCAATTGATAGCTCCCCAGGAAGAAAAACCCACTCGAAACAGCAAACGTGATTCAGTGGCTGATGCTGATGCTTTTTCGAATTTGGTCAGCCCCAAAACGCGCTAACTTCTAACAACACCTACCTGCAATTGCCCTTCAGCACGACCTGGACGAAAGAAAGGAAGGTTCGGTTTTGGGGTTCGGGGTTGAAAGAGGCTCCAAAAGAATTCTGGCACAGGCGACCCCTTCTGATATACCTCTGAAGGTTTTCATGCAACCTGGAAAGCCCCAACTCCCCAAAACCGAAAACAGCCTTGGGTCTAGGGTTTGCGGGTTAGGCCTTCTGGCACATCATGTTTCTGGAGTCTGAGGGGGTACATGTTGGAGTCCAACCATACGTTGCCAGAACTCGGGGTTCAAGGCTTAGGCCCATGGAGTTTGTGATCTTTCCACCGGGGTTGAGCATGAGTTTAACATGGCACGTCCCTCAAACCTGAATTCTGAAGAATTTGAAATAGTTATTACATACCCTAGTTTTAGGGTTTAGGGTTTAGGGTTCCTAAACTCTGGAGCTCGGCCGGGCTGCAAAGCGACAGCGTACCCCCGCGAGACTCGCGACGTCGCTGGCCCGCCTGTGACAGCGCGGGAATTGGCGGACGCTTCTCTAGGGTTTATTTAGGGTTTAGGGTTTAGGGTTCGTAGCACAGGTACGCGCTCTTCTCGGATTCTCCGCAAAGCGCTCGGAACCCAGAAACCCAAAGAGGGTGCCGCAATATACCCTAAACCCAAACCCTAAACACCCTAAGTCCCACAGCCAGTCAAGCTCAGGGTTGGGGGTTCGGGCTTCGGGTTTAGGGTTTGTTGTTTAGGATTTAGGGTTTAGGGTCTTGCGATGTCGGGGCTGTTGGAGGCTTCATGGGGTGGTTTTTGGCCTCCTTGGGGTTGCAGGGATTGTTTTGGGGTGTAGTGGTTTGGGCTTTGAGGGTTTGGGTTCGGGGGTTTATGGCCTAGGGCTCTTGGGAGGACGGAGCACACGGAACCGGTCTCATGGGGTTGGGGGCTTGGGGCTTAGGGGTCCAGGAGTTCAGGGTTGAGGGGCATTACGGGATGTGTGGGACTTGTTGGTTTGACCCTTGCGCTCCCGAACCCCGAAACCCGAAACCCTAAACCCTAAACCCGAAAGGAGATGAAACTCGAGCTTGTGGTGCCCAGCCTTCGTTTTCAGCGAGCACGGCCTTTGCCAAGCAAGTTCGATTCGGCGTTGAGGGTTTTGGGCCCTCGGGGCTTGGGCCCGGGGAGCGAGGGGCTTAGGGTTTAGGGTTTAGGGTTTCGGGGTTCGGGAAGCCTGGCTTAGAGATCTTTAGATGCTCGTGTTCTGTTGTATGGGTTGTTGCTTTCTGTTGTTTTTTGAAAGTGAACATAACGGCCCGTGAGACTCTGAACAAGCCAGCAAGAAAGCAAAGGAACTCCAGAGCTCTGCCCCAAGCCCTAAATCCGAAGCCTTAACCCTAAACCCTAAAGTCAAACCTTGAACGTAAGGATGGGTCATGGAAGCGCCCAGAATCTGGTACCCTTGAAGATTCGCAAGGAACCTGAAACTTCGGCCCCTAAGCTCCAAAATTAGGGTTTAGGGTTTAGGGTTAAGGGTTAAGGGTTTAGGGTTTAAACCAGAACAATCCGAGAGTTGACCCCCTTGAAGCCGGGGGGCATCCGCGACATGAAGGAGCGAGTTGGCCTTTGGGATGTGGGCTCTGCAGAGGGTAGGGGGTAGGGTTTAGGGTTTAGGGTTTAGGATTTAGGATTTAGGGTTTAGGGTTTAGGTTTAGGGTTTAGGGTTTAGGGTTTAGGGTTTAGGGTTTAGGGTTTAGGGTTTAGGGTTTAGGGTTTAGGGTTTAGGGTTTAGGGTTTAGGGTTTAGGGTCTGCTGTGATAGGGCGTCGATGCTGTGAAACTTAGCCTTTGAAACAAGCCCGAAAGCTTCGTGAGGCGTGAGGAGCAGCTTTGGCCCGACTGTGGAAGGCCATTTAACACTTTTTCTCCCACCCCACGCCGTCCGAGGCGGCAAAGCCACCCAAACCTATTCCTTTTAGGGTTAGGCCTAAACTCAAGGCGCTTCTAAAAACTTCGTCCGTTTTGAAAAGAAGGCAGGGTGTCCCGGGGGAAGTTCCCAGAACGTCCAGGGGCGTCCCAGGAAGGTTTCAGGGGGGTCCCCACAAGCTTGGATGCTGGGGTTTAGGGTAGTGACTTAAATAAGGGACCGGTATCGAGGAGAACGTGCTCCGGTACCGGGCCCATCGTGGGTGCTACCGAGCTGTGGGAGGCGGGCGAACGACCTGGGTCAGCTTGCGCCATCGAGGTCGAGGGGCTTAGGTGCCGCCCCCCAACTGTAGGGGGGCGGCCTCGGCCTTGAGTTTAGGGTTTAGGGTTTGGGGTTTAGGGTTGGGGGCTGGGGGTTTAGAGAGCCTTAAACCCTCTACGTACTGGGGAACCAAACCCGGGAAAGAAGGAGGAGCGTTCTTGGTCCGTCGCGTTGAGGGTTTAGGAGATAAGTTTTTTTTTTTTTTTTTTTAATGGGAACCCGACCCTATACGAGAAAAAGGGAAAAAGGGTACCACTTAGGTCCTCCGTTGCAGGGATTGAGGTTTGTAGAAGTGCCTGTGTACCTCAGAAGGCACCCGAACAACGTAGCCGTCAAGCCATCAAGCAGTTGTTGTTTGACTCCACTGCCTCCTGTGTCTAGCTCCTCAGCTCGATTTACATCTACACACCACACAACACAAGACTTACCAACAATACCCTCAATACAGTCTGTTTGTGGGGTGGTATTCTATGGTAGAAGCCCTCAACCCTGAGCCCACGCCCTATACACCTACTCGCATCATCAGGACCCTGGCACTGCATCTTCCTTAAAGGAACCCTCAACCCTAAACCCTAAACCCTTACGGGCACTGGGGAAACCCACCAGCCTCCGATTGAACACTCCGGGTGGACGTCATCACTGCGGCATTGCGGGAGTAGCTCGAGCTACTCTCGCGCACCCTCCCTAAAAGGACTTGGGGCTGAGTGGGTAAGAACGTCAGGCAGACAAGAAAGGGGCCTATATTCAGTGCAATGGTGGAGTTTCTGAGTGGACTTTCTGAGTAGCTTTTTTTTACCTCTTATAAGAGGATTCTCTTGAAGTTGGTAGTTAGCTAGACTCCTGTACGGTCGGGCTTCGGTGTGTCATATCCTTCTTCGGGTGGCATCTGCTACTCTGGGGAGACTGGGCTGGGTAGCTGTGGTGGTATCGGGATGATGTGAGGCTATGAGCTCACGGTGTCCTTCATGGGTGTGGCTTTAGGGTTCAGACTCATGAGGCTCATGCGTGGCTCACAGGGATGTAGCGTCTCTGAACCCCTCTCGGGCGTGTTGAAATAGCTTCGGAGCATCATGAACTCAGTGCCACAATCCTGGTCAAATTGCGGGCCCTTCTTTGGTGTCCCAGAGCTTTGCTGCCTCTTTCAGGGGGGAGAAAGGTTATGCGGAAAGGGATGCATTGGGGTAAGACCGCTCGGGGGGTTTAGGGTTGAGGCATTGTAGTCCATACATGGCCTTTACAGGCCTTGTTGGGTTTCTAGGGTTCTTTCGGGATCTTGATCACGGCTTGAGGTCTTCCGGCTTGCGAACCGTGCGTTTTTTCTGCCTTGCCCGCGGCTCGCGTGCATCTCCGGCAACAGAAAGCTTTCCAAAAGCCTTCGGCTACATGGGACCGGAGGCCTAAAGCCTAAACCCTAAACCCTAAACCCTGATTCCAGGAGACCCAAAGGCCCCCAAACCCAAAATCAAAATCCCACGGGTCTTCCTGTGGAAGAGCCGATGCGATGAAAAGGGGCAAAGACAAGGGGGAACCGGCTTGCTGGAGTGCACCACCCTGCTGTTCCCCTGGGGTTTGGGGTGTAGGGTCTAGGGTTTAGGGTGCCCCGAACCCCCACAGCCCCCCCATGAACTGCCAACCGCCCCGACAAACTGGTGCTCCCCTGCGTTTGCCCGGACAGTGGAAAACCTGGTGTGCTTTGCGCCTTGACGGGCGTCTCGCCGCTGTCCAGAAATTCTTGGGTTCGAAGCACGGACTGGATGCTTTCTCTCTCGGTATCATCTTCTCTTGGAATACGCATAATTATGACTCTATGACTACTGCTCTTACACAGATAGAAATAACTCTACATGTGCATCTACATAGGGTCTCTGGGTGAAACTTCAGGTTCTTAGGTCTTCTGGACGGCGCCGCATCTAGCAGCTGAAAGCTGATGTTCACGGGTCTTCCTGCAGGTGGCGCTTTGTGTACTTCCCTCAGCCCGCATATCGGGACCCTGAAGCCCAAGGGGCTCTACTTGCTCAGTACCCTGAAGCTTAGGGTTTAGGGTTTAGGGTTTAGGGTTGCCCACAAGCGGAAGCCCTGCTAAGTCTCTGCGAGACCCACGCCTTCCTGGCGCTCAGCCCGCAGTGAAGCGGTGAATCCCACCTGCAGGCCATGGAGGGCCTTTGGGGTTTAGTTTAGGGTTTAGGGCTTAGGGCTTAGGGTTTAGGGTTTAGGGTTTAGGGTTTAGGGGTTAGGGGTTAGGGTTTAGGGTTTAGGGGTGTTCTGTTGGTTGATTCTCGGGCTTACGGTCTAGAGTGTTTAGCGATCAGGGCGGGCTTTGGTGGTTCGAATCTCGAATACGACACATACTTGAGAATATGTAGATACGTAGACGTGGACCAGCAGAGGTGCACATGCATACCTAGATAGTATGCAGATGCTGAGTTATCTATTGTTGAGCTCCCAATGTAAGAACAAGTATGTATGTATACATATACATATACATACATACATATATATATATATACATTTATTTATTTACAGTATACAAAGCTTGCCTCTGGTCTGCAAGGCCATGCTACAACCGGAAGCCTCCGCGCAGGCTAGGGTTTAGGGTCTCCGAGAGGCCTCGGTCACAGATCTGCAGCTGACGGCAACGGCGCTGCGCATGCTCGAGCTCGCGCAACGCCTCTTCCTGCTCCTGCACGTGGCAAACACGGGATCAGGGTTTACGGCGCCTTGAACCCCTAAGCCCGAAACTCTTCCTTCTCGCCCCTATAAACCCTAAGCCCTAACCCTCCACCCTCCTCGAATGACGCCTGCAAACCCTAAGCCCTAAACCCTCCACCCTCCTCGAACCCACAACTACTGTTTGCTTAAGAACCCCCCAACAAATGAAAATAATACTATTCCATCTAAGGGCAGTAAGGGGATTGTCATTGTTGCTTTCTTTTAAATTTCTTCAGCAAAGAAATCACAAGCCCTATATAAACTGCATCCTGCTGAAGTGTCGCCAGGCCGATGGGATCGCCACCCGCGCACACCTCAGACGAGCGCGCCAAGGGTGCGACCGGGCCCTCATTTGGGGGATCTCTTAAAGGGTTTAGGGTTTAGGGTTTAGGGTTTAGGGTTTAGGGTACATGAAGCATTCAAGCGTGAATGGTCCCTTTGCTACCCTATAAAGCCCAAGGGCCCGTTACTTCACAGCCTTTAAGGCCATGTCACCATCCTCAGATAGCTTCGGAAATCCTTTTCCGGATTCCCTAAACCCTAAACCCAACGTGTGTGTGTGTGCTCATGTTCCGATGTCTCAATAGGGCCCTGCGGTTTCCCTTCTTGTATGGGGCGGGACAAGGTTGATGGGGTTGAGGGGTTAGGGTTTAGGGCTGCAGGCCTTCCTTTCCCTAGAACCCTTTTTGGGGACCAGGGGCTCAAGCTCAGGGACTAGTGAAACAAACTTACCAACCCATCTATACTACCCTACTGGGACAGCAAAGAGGCTTCTCTTGGCTCCGAAGCCCCGAAACCTACACCCCCCCTCCCCGCCCCCGTGGACATCTGAAGCCCACCCAAGCCTCTAAACCCCCAAACCCGAAACGAAGATCCAGGCTCCCTGGCGCAGTGCATCACGGCCTCGTGGACGCTGTGAAAGAGCCACTCCTGCAAATAGATTCAACCGGCGGCTCATGGTTTGTTACTACGGGTTTTGTTTTAGGGTTCAGGGCTTCTGGTGGCACAGGGTTTGGGATTTAGGCGAGCCTTCCTCGGAGTGCAATGGGGGGATTCGTTGCCCAAAACGGCGAGACTGAGCACCGAAGAGACGGTTGGTTCGTCAGCTGTGGCTCTACGTTCCTCGGTGCTGCCACGTGGGGCTTGATGCACATCCTGGTTGAATTTAGCGGGTCCCTGCCATCGTATTATTTACGCACACACACACACATATATATATACATATATATATATACAAATATAGATATTTATATATATATATATATATTTGTATATATATATATATGAATATATAAATAAATATATAATATATATATATACATGTATATATATATATATATATATATATATATTCATATATATATATAGGTTTTGTCAGGATCTCAAGGTACCAAGAAGCTGCAGCCAACAAGAAGGAGATCCCGGACTGAATCCATTGGCCTCGCCAAGGTAGTCCAGCAGCCCGAACTTCCTCAGTCGGCTCCCTTCAGGGTTTAGGGTGTAGGGTTTAGGGTTTAGAGCCCTGAAACGCAAAACCTTAAACCCTGGGTTCAAAGCATCTACGCGGTGCAAGAAGTGAAGCCGGTGAACCCTAAACCCCCAAACACAGGGGGCAGCGAACTCACTGATGCACCATCTGCTGGCTAATTCCTAGGTGTCGTGCCGGTCGGGTGGGCGGCTTCGGTTGAATTCGGGTTGAACAGAGGGTTGGATTCAGAGTTTGGGGACTTCGTTGCCAGGCAGACCCCGCGCTCGTAAACCCTCTGAACTTTAGAGACAACTCCGCTTGTGGCCAAAGCGTCTGCAGGCTGCGCTCGAGACGCTCACCAACACAAGAGAAGGCGACATCAATGCCTGGAGGATTTAGTGGCTACCCTGAGCCCTAAACCATGTCCACAACCCGATACTTATTTGTGCCAAGGCTTCGGCGTTGGTATAAACTCATAAAAAGATATTTGCATCTATGTATATTCCGGCTCTGTGTGTGCATGCTTTGTACACCGTTTGGGTTAAAGGGGGGTTAGGGGCACCAGAGTTTGGGAGCTTTTGGGCCTTGAAGGCTTCAGGGAAAATCAGCTTGAGACTTCAGTGCCTTGCAAACCCTGAACGCAGAAGCCCTGAGGGTCGAAAAGCCTAAACCCGTCTTAACCTGCAAACCAAGTGTCAGGTCCTCATTCGGATGTCTAGATAATGGGCATGTTTTGCATCTCCATTGTCTACTATTTGCTTAAGATCCCCCCCAAACAAAAACAAAACATGTTAAACTTGTTATTCCTTATAAGGGCAATATAGGGATTACTTTTTTTATAATGCCGTTGGGGTTCCTAACCAGGATACTACCACCACTGGGCAACCTCGCCTACACTGAAGTCGCGAACTCTAAGCCCAAAACCCCAAATTTAGATCCTGGAGCCCTGAGCACCCGAACCCTAAACCCTAGACCCTAAACCCTGAACCCTAAACCCCAGTGATGCGCGTCCTTGTGACCGGAAGTCATGGATAACGCTGTGCAGCACCTGGGCCCAGCTTTCTCCCCTTGGGCTTTTTAGGGCTAGGGAAGCCCAACTGCCTAGAAGTTCCAGGCGTTTAGGGTTTAGGGTTTAGGGTTTAGGGTTTAGGGAAGCCTAACTTCCTGAGGGTCATTGGGGTTTGGGGGGCTTGGGGGTTTAGGGCTCCAAGAGCCGACTGTGCTGTGGCTGGGGGGCTCCGAGGCTTCTAGACGTAGCTTTGTGGTGGTTCAGGGTTTAGGGTTTAGGGTGTAGGGTTTAGGGTTTAGGGTTTAGGGCAGTTTAGGGTTTAGGGTGGTTGCTACTAATTCCTCCAGAGCCCCCCCCTAAACATGAACATATTTTTCCTCATTGTCAGGGATTTCTGCTGCTCGCCAGTGTAAGTACCTGATAAAATCTTAAGCCGGTCAAGCAAACCTTTTGCTTCCATCCTTACCTCTTGGCATGAAATCTGCTGAATGAACGCAGATCAGGTGAATTCGCAGCTCGAAGTCTAAATCACACACAGTGCCCAACCCCGCTTCCTAAACACTTAACCACTAAACCCGAAACCCTCAAACCCTACTATATTATATAGCGGCCTGCATAATTAGAATAGTCTTTTTTTGGGGGGTTTTGTAGTAATAGTAATAATTCGACCGCCTATAAGTAGCTCGTTGGCTTCCATGGACCTCCATTGCGGAGTAGTCCGCGGTGACGACCGGCGTGAAATCCAGGACTAGGTATCTGACTTCACCTCAGCGGCCGAGAGGGTTTAGGGTTTAGGGTTTAGGGTTCAGAGGTTCAGGATGTTGGTTTTGCAGGGTTTAGAGGGCGAATTAGTTAGGATCTAGGGCTTTTAAGGCTTGTAAGGCCCTACCGGAAACTCTGAAAACAAAACGTCATCACGGAGCACCCCATGAAACATGGTGAAGGGTACTGAGCTCTGCAGGTCCCTCTATCCCAGAAGTGGTAGAGCGCGGGAACTCTCACTGTTTCCCTCTGAAACAGCTAGCTTGAACAGGAGGCTCCTTTCTTACAGGGACGCCCCCCCTCCCCCGGATCACTCCCAAATTCAAGGACTCACCCCGAAGCCCCCCACGATATTTCAACCCCAAGCCCCAGCCCCTCCCCTCTCCCCCAGCTTAATGTAGAGCAACCCCCCATTCTTCCCCCCAGCTTAATATTCCAAAACCCTAAACCCTAAACCCTAAACCCTAAACAAGTGACGTTGTCGGGTCCAGGAGTTGTCAGAGTTGCGACGAGACCGACGGACTGGTCTAGGATTTTGGGTTTCGGGTTTAGGGTCGGTTTTTGGTGGTTTGCAGGGTCTAGGGGTTTAGTGGGTTTAGGTTTAGGGTTGAGGGATTTTGGGGTTGAGGTTCGGACATTCAGGACTTTCAGGGTTTCAGCTTATTATTTTTTTTTTTTTGGGGGGGGGGGGGGCTTAGGGCAACAAAGCTCCACATTCCACTCAGACTGGTAAGGGCTTCGGGCTTAGGAGAACCTGTTTTCCAGCCGCCCTGCTGGTCATGCTGGTCGAGCCGCTGATTTCGCGCATATCCTTGGGGCATTGCAGACTCAGAAATCTTGGCTCTCAGCTTGTGAGGTTTACGTAGGGGACTCTCCGATAAACTCGCAGAAGCGAACCTCCTTGAATCTCAGTACCTCAAATGTACCCGAGTCCATCGCCAGACCAGCAACGATTCTGAACCAGTGGAGGGTTCTAAGCTGCTTGAAAGTGCAATGCGTACCGAAGGAAGGGATAAGGTTTGATCTGCCAGGTCTCCGAAATCAGTGTCAGCAGCGAGTCCTCGACGTATGCAACGTTGGCAAAGTACAAGGATCCGCCAATTCGTGCCTCACTCTTTGGCGCTGCGCCCCTTAAAGCTCTTAACGCCCTCAATTAAGGCCTGTAACAAGTAAAGTACTCTCACAAAACCTTGCTCGGCTTGGGGGTGTTCTGCATTGCTCTTGCTTTTTTCCTCTGTCTTGACCCTCGACTCTATCCCCTACCGAAAACTCCAACACCCCAAACCACTAAGGCCCTCAGCCTAAACCCCAAAAGCCTAACAACCCCTAGACCTTGGATGTTAAACGCAACCTGGTCGCTATGAAGATGCCATCCATGAAGGCTCCCTCAGGCGCCTGCAAAATGTTCCGGTAGCCTTCGCATCCACGGGGGTCTTGGTACTCGGTAGCCCAGTAGCCATCTTAGAATAGGGGTACCCTTGGTTTTGGTTGGTTACTCATAAGAACCCAAAACCAAAAAAGGGCAAGGGGTACCACCGGGCTTCCAAGGATGGTGTCCATAGAGGGTCCTGGATAATTCAGGGTTTTGAGGCCCCTGAATGGGGACAGTTTGGTGGGAGGAGACGATAACAAGCCCTTGCGTAGGACTCTCGTCCCCAGGCGTGTCTGAGCTTGGTCGCCTCATCCCTACACCCTCAAACAACAGTTTTCCCAATCTACTGCAATGCTGAAAAAGAAAACTGCAGCGCTTACCCTAAACCCTATTGGGGGGTTAGATATTAGGGGGCAGGAGGGGGCAGGAGTCCCTAAAGCCCAAAAATCCTGGGCTGGGTTTGGGGTTTTTGGGCGTAGGTTTTGAGGGTATTGGGCTATCTTCCCCACCTTCGGGCTTCTTGTGAGAAACCATGTGTAAGCCAAGTGTGTATGTGCGGACATGTGCATGGTTGGAAGCCCTCGCCTTTTTTGCCTCAACTTTACAGCTTCAACCTAAAGTACCTGTGAAGCTGCCTTGAGCCCTTTTGAACCCTAACCCCCAAACCCCACAAGCTGAAACCCTCAACAAGGGTGCAGCATGAACCCTCAGACAAGGGGTTTGGGGTTTAGGGTTTAGGGTTTAGGGAGCATGAAAGGCCAAGCCCCCAAAATCCGGGGGGGCCACTCGACCGAAGCTGAAGCCCTCAAGTACGAGTGGCTGTTCGAGCCCTCGACACGCCAAAGCACCCTCAGCTGCACCGAGGGCTGCTCATAGTGTTCGAGGGCTGTTTAGGGATTTGGGGTTTGGGAGGTTTTGGCTTAAGGGTTTTGGGCTTAGGGTAGGGGGTGTAGGGGCGTTGCGGGTTCGAAAGCGGTTGTAGGGCTCAATGTGTGTGCGTTCATGATCAGGAGCGGCTGGAAACACAGCTTCAAGAAGTTGAGGCAGCCATGGATCTAAGCCACAAGACATGTGCGCCACAAGCAGCACTCGCCTAAGACTTGCGGCGTCGTAAACTGCCATCATCCTCATGTTTTAGGTTTCTAGAGCGTTTCGGCATTTTGGTTTGGACTTTCGGGGGCTTACTTGCCCAAGCTACGGGTCCCTGTCAATTCAAAAACCGAGTGTGTTCCCGTGGCTCCAAAAATTCGCCTCCGAATCAAGCTGAGTACATCCTTCCAGGCAGCTGAATGGGCGGGTGGATAGACTCGTAGATAACAATCAGCAAAGAAAGCCTCGGTTGATCCAAAAGTCTTGGAAGTATCAAGATTAGCCCAGGGTCCAGGAATTTAGGGGTTCGCTTGCAAGCTTGTCATTGTAGGTTCCTGAGCTTTCCCCCCTCGGTCTCAAGAGACTGTTATATCCTACTGCCCCGATTTAGAGAGCTCTGACTCTCTTCATTACCAAGGCTCTTGATTTCTAGGGCGCTGGGCACTGAAGCACCCGAGTGTGCTTTTTTTTTGCATCTTTTGTCTAGGCGTCTGGCTCAGCGCCCTCTTCACCCCTCTGTGGCCACAAACCAAGATTAGCTTAACAAAGCACCGCAATCAAAACAACTCATATGCATGCAAGTATGTGACTACTCTAAAAGGGCGATCTTTGTAAAACTCCTTAAGCAAATCCTAGCGAGCAAACCCAAACACTATAACCTTAGTAAAAATAAATGTGTAATATCCTCTTGGGTTTTATATAAGCAAATAGAAAGAAGAATTCCCAAGCAGAATATAGAAAAAGCCAACAGCTCTCGGACGGCCGGGCGGCAGGGCAGCCAAGCTGATGCCCAAGCGCGGGCCCACGCAAAGCGTGCCGATCATCGCCGTCTGGGAGGGGGATCTCTGAGGATCGAGGCGTGGTGGGGTTTAGGGTTTAGGGTTTAGGGTTTAGGGTTTAGGGTTTAGGGTTTAGGGTTTAGGGTTTAGGGTTTAGGGGGGCCCCTGTAGCCTGCACGTGTTTGGGTTCATGTTTGGGGGGTTTAGCCCTAGACCCTAAACCCTGAAGCCTAAACAATCAACCCCGACAGCTCAACTACACCCTCAAACCTAACCCCTGAATGTGAACCTCAGGAACCTTCTACCCTAAAACCCCTAAACCCTAGCCCCTACACCGTACTATACTCCCCTTAGAACCTTAATAGAAAATATTTCAATATCTTTTGGGTTATATATATACAAACAAAAAATGATTCCCAAACCTAAAGCAGTTCGGCAGGTTTAGGACTTAGGGTTGGATTTGGGAAGGCTGCCCTGGGTCCTCAGGGGCTCCTGAAGACCCCAAACCCGACCGACGGGGCGCGCACCATCCACATTGTGAAGTCGGCTTTCTTCACTCTATACCTGGCGTGTTTAGGGTTTAGGGTTTAGGGTTTAGGGTTTAGGGTTTAGGGTTTAGGGTTTAGGGTTTAGGGCTTAGGGTAGGTCCGCCTACCAACCCTGATTCGAAGCCATCAGCCCCAAAGCCTAAGCTCGGAGGCCTCACACGAAACCTGAATCCGTCAGAACCCCCGCTATCAACCCAGGCCCTGCCATTCTGATCTATAAAGACATCACTTCACACCACACACCCCCTAGCAACCCCAAAAAACCCAAACCTTAACACGAAACTCTCCTGCCTGGGGGTTCATGCGTACTTCTAACCCCCAAAATACAGTCTACTTGCAACCTAGGAACTTCGGGGCTTATAATCGTGCAGTGAGAACTGGGGTTATCAGTACCCTGAACCTCCAAGTGGCCTCCCCCTCAAAAAATCTGTTTCCCTAACCTACTATTTGCTGAAGAACCCCCCCCTCAAAAAAAAACATCCTTATATTACCCTTATAAGAATATTCTGTTTTTGTTACTGTTAATAAATTGATTTATTATTTTATTTTATTTTGTTTGTTCTTTTTTTTTTTTTTTTTTTTTTTTTTTGGGGGGGGGGGGGGTTGTTCTTCAGCAATTCGAGGTAACTGCTGCCGCATTTGGGCCCGAGCAAGTTCATGGCCACGTCATAGGCCACCAACTTGGAGACGGAACCTTGTCTAGGGTTGAGGATTTGGGGTTCAGGGTTTAGGGTTCAGGGTTTAGGGTTTAGGGTTTAGGACTTGGGGTTTAGGGTTTTTGCATCTTACCTTAAGACCTCATAACCCACCCTTCTTGTAGGTGACCATTCTTCGGGGAAGCTTCGAGGTCGAGTCAACGTCCTCGCCGAGAAGACCATCAGCTTGCTTGGATTCCCTCCATAATGCACACCCGGGTCCTAAGCCCCTAGTTCTCCAAACCCTAAACCCTAAACCCCAAACCCCAAACCCTAAACCCCAAACCCCTAAACCTAAACCCAATCCCCTAACCACTAAATCCGCCTAAACCCCCAAAGGGCTCCGAGAACAAAGTAGGCTTTTTCCATATAAATAAATTAGGGTTTATATTTCTTGTACCCCCCCAAAAAGGACACCCAGTATATACACTCGCAAATAGTAAAAGGGAACCTTATATACACTCCCCAAGAACAGAAATAGAAACCCTGCTTCATATCAGGGGAAGTCGAGGGAATTCGGGGGCTCGAGTTCAGCCCTACGCCGGAGTATTGAGAGGGCTCGGGGTGTCCGGGCTGGGCAAGACTGGGCGTCCGGGCTCACCACGATCGCCGCCAGCGCGAACTTGGGTAAGTAGTAGAACAACCTGAGTGGCTCTGCGGGGTTTAGGGTTTAGGGTTTTGGGACTGCTTCCTCAGTAGCCCAAAACAAAGCCCTGGTGGGTACTATCAATCGGCTTAAATGGAGCCTAGCTTGGTAGAAAGGTTCCAGTCACTGCTTGGGTCTTTACAGCACTAGGGGCTTAGGGACTCAAGGCTTCTGGCTCTCGAAGATGATGTTCATGTTCAGGGTTCGGGTGAGTTGAGGGTTGCTTCATCCTTGCTTCTTTTTGTTGAGGGGCTTCGGGTTTAGGATGTAGCGTTTGGGGTTGGCGAAGATGAGTCACGGCTTGTGTCAGCCTGGAAGATCCTGGTAGACGTAGGAAAACCGGTAGCAGCAAACTTGCTCCACTGCACCTCTCACACCAGATTACAATTCCACCACACAGCCTCAAAGAACTTACTCTTTGGGCTTGTTTTTAATTCAGGCACTTGAGGTCCTGATCGTGTGTGTTCTGAAGCGTGTGTGTGTGAGAGAGAGAGAGAGAGTGTAAGCGTAAGTGTAAGTGTAGGTGCAAGTGTAAGTGCAAGTGTAAGTGTAAGTGTATGTGTTTATATATGTGTATGTATATATGTGTATATGTAGAAACATCTTTACAAATGCATAAGACTGCTAACATAACAAACGGAATTATGTAATGTAACACAACATACAGAGCATATTCCCGATAACAGAGGCTAGAAGTTTGAGCACCCCCCCCCCTCACCCACCCACCCACTCCGAAACAAGAACAACAAAAAAAACAAGAACAAACAAACAAATCCTGGGACTTCGCACGGTGTGAGGTAGAGCAGCGCCAGGAAGGACAATGAAGCTGGCGGCAGGCTTTGGGTTTGGAGTTTCGGGGTCTTTAGTCTTCCTGCAGGCTCTCCTATGGATTCCTTTTGGCCTTCTTTAAAGGGGAGTCAAAATGCAGTCCTACATAGGAGTTTTTGGGGTAAGGCGAAGGTATGCAGTTTAGGGGTGTATGAGTCGACGTGCAGATGCAGAGGGCAGTCGGGATCCTGAGTGCACTGAGAGCACTTTTCCTCATCGTCCCATGGCCTTTGAGGGACTGTTGAGGTGTCGCGAAAGGCTCGAGGGCCAGGGCCGGGCCTCACCTGACTCCCACAAGCCCGGCATCTCCAAGTCGGAGCCCTGCAGTTCGTGGCCGACGCCGTGTCCATCGTATGCGGTGCAAGTGTCTTGAGTCGCCATGCATCACAGCTGCATCGTCCACAGGCCGCCTTCGGCATCAAGGACCATAATCTCCCTTTTGCTGGGGAGGAAGCAGGAGGCACACATGCAGAAGGAATCGGAGAAGCCATCAATGGTGAACTCCACAGCGCAGACCAAGTCTCCGGGGAGATCTGAGTATGTCACCTGGGACATCATGGGTTTGATGGCCAACAGACAGATGGCCACCCTTTCTTGCTTTTGTCGGGATTTGCGGATTTGTTGGGTGAATATAACAAAAAGGAAAAGGACCTAAGTAAACCCTAAATGAACGTCATGAGATCCCCGATGATTCTCACGCAGATGAGAACTGAGTCCCCCCTCCCGCCCCCCCCCACCCCCCTGCGGGTTCACAAGTCAGTGGATTCACTGTTCACAAGTCAGTGGAGTCACTGCGGCTTGGGGCGGTTTAGGGTTGAAGGGCTTGGGGTTCAACGCTGACATCCAGGCCAGGCTGCATTCCAAGGCTTTCCTCCAGGCTGCTGGGACGGCATGAGGCAACGGACCTAGGTTCTCCAGCCTCCTAAGGGTTTAGGGTTTAGGGTTCCCTTTCTTGTTTAAGCCGTTTCATACGTGACTCAGAATGCCGAAAATGCCGAAACAGGGGAATAAGGGTACCGTACTATCTCAGGCTATACTCCCCTGAGAACCTTACTCGAAAAATTATGTTACATATCCTTTTGCGCTTTATAAAAACAAAAATTAAAAAATGGGATATAGCAGGAACGTCGGGACGAGGCACATGGCACGAAGCATCTGGCAGCCCCAGCTCCGCGGCAATCTCTCGGCCCCTCTTGATTTCTTGAGGGGGGGAAGGGCCGGAATTGGGTTGAGGGTTGAGGATATCTCGGATAAACCCTCTGTTTAGGAACTTGGGGGTCTTAGGAAGACTACAGTAGGAGGTTGCGTCGTTTGGGTTTGCAGCAGCAATCAGGGGGGAAAAACGTAATGTTGATGTGCCCAGATTCTCGTCGCTGAAGGACAGCCCGCTGGCATCGTAAAGCAGGTACAGCTGCCGGGTGTGCCTCGCCCCACAGAAGACCCCCTGACATGCTTGGGACGCCTCATAGGTTTTTTGTTTTGGAGCTCTAAAAGCCCCAAATCCGTAGGGTTTAGGGTTTGCCCTAAGCCCCAAACAGCGTTATAGGGCTGAAATTATGTACCATGCATTTTTTTGCTGCTAGCGCAACCGGCGGAGCAAGAGCAGCTCGATTTGCCTGCTCATTTGCTTCAGCCCTAAGCTGTGAATCCACTGAATCAGGCTTGGCATGAGGGTTTAGGGTTTAGGGTCTCTAAGGGTGGTTTGCACGAGATGCCTGATTAGCAACTACGGGATCAGTGATCAAACGACACCCCGAAAAGGCACCGCATTTGAGCCCACCACCCCCATGCCGTTCGGTCTTTGTAGGACCCTAAACCGCAGACCCCAACATAACAATACACAACCCTCAGCCCTAGACTGTAAACTACTGTTTGCTTAAGAATCCCCCAATATATATATATATATATATATCTGTATAAACATTCGTCCCTATAAGGGTAATAAGGGGCTATTTATATTCTGTTTTTGAGGTTCTTAATATTCTGTTTTTGAGGTTCTTAAGCAAATAGTAGTAAACCCTAAACCGCCCTCAACCCTAGACGAGGCCCTAAACAGTCCTCATCCCTAGATCAAACCCTGAACCACCCTCGCCTCTGGACTAACACAACCCTGAGCAGCCTTCAATTCTGAAACCCTGGACAGCCCCAAAATAGGGGTCGGAATAATTACTACTATTTCTCCCTTTTGGTCTTTTTGTTTATTCTACCACAACCCCCCCCCCAAAAAAAAAAAAACTACTCCCACTATTAATATATGTTTAATGAATTCAAATACATATGGTGATTTAAAACAAGAAATGCATTAAGGCCCCAGTAGTAAGCCCGAAACTCGGGCTTCTGGGACTGAAGGGCCGAGCCGCAGATCCATGACGATGGATTTGTCCGACACCTGGCCTCAGTGGCTGAGTTTTAGGGTTTAGGGTTTAGGGGTTCAACACCTGTCCGCTGACGCCGGCGGCGTGTTGGATGGTTTTGGGGGAAGGAACCCTCCCACCCCTCCCTTACACCCCCAAAAACCTTAAAACGCGGGGGGGGGGGGGGGGGGGGCGGGGGGGGGGGGGGGGGGGCGCAGTGGGGGGTCGGTGCACAATTTTTTCATAGGCCCGACCACAGGCTGTTCAGCCCCTTTGCCCACCACCCCCACCCTCCCCACCCCCCTCCTACCCCCAAAAAAACTTAAGGGGGGGGGGGAAGGGGGGGGGGGGGGGGGGGGGGGGGGGGGGGCGGGTGGGGGGTCAATGCACAATTTTTTCAAACCCTAAACCCCAAACCTTTTCCCTACAGCCCAACCAAACCTGCCCCAAAGGTCGAACCCAAAGCCTTAAGGCTACCCTAAAGACAAGAGCATTAGACCCACAGAGGCTCAAAACCTGGAGTGAGGGTTCTTGAGGGATTAGGGTTCTGGGTATAGGGTGTGGGGTTTAGGGTTAGGGGTTTGGGATTTAGGGACTAGGGTTGAGGTTTCAAGGGGGGGGGTGCCTATGTTGCAACCTTACGCCAACCACTCCAACAGTTCGAAGCCTCTACTCCCCCATTCCCACAACACGGCCTCAAACCCCCGAACCCTGGTTTGGTTCAAACCTAAATAAGGGCCTTGCAGGAAGCTAGGGCTTCGGATTTTGGGCTTCAGGTTTCGGGTTCAAGGCCTAAAGGGCCTACGCTTGACGAGGAGATGTACAACTCCACACAAAAAGAAGCTGCTTAGCGTCGAAGTGGCAGGAGAAAGGCTCTTTGCCGTGAGGAGTCACAGCGAACAAGTCCTGCGGGTTTAGGGTTCAGGGGCGCAGAGAACCCTAAGCCCTTGAAACTCACCATAACACCCTTCGGGTGCTGTGTTTCGCGTAGGTCCCCTCCTTATGAGCACCCTCAACCTTTGCCCCCTCTGCTCACCCCAAACCCTAAACCAGAACTTTAAATCCAGACCCCTACCCCCCCCACCCCCCACCCCCGCCCACCCCATTCCTGCCAAAGCAAGCAGGTTGTCGGCTGGAAGGTTTCCAGGCAGAGGGCGTAAACACCCTGAAGCGTCGCTATAAAGATGGCCTGATGGCCAGGGATGATGCGACTTAGGGCTAGTAAGGGGTTGAGGGCTTTAAAGGGTTAGGGTTAGTAAAGGGGTTTAGTTTTTAGCAGACGGGCGCAGTTGCGCGGCAGTTTTTCAAGCCTTCTTTAAGGGGTGGTCAGTGTCGCCATGCTGAAAAGACTGTCTTCGGCATGTCATGCTTGCGACTGCTTTTTCCGACTCTTTGCAAGCACTCACAGCGGTGGCGACGTTTTTGCGTCTGCGTAAACGTCATTCAGGTCTTTTCCCTGTGTTGTTAGCATGATAAGCATTAAAACGGTTTCACAACAGTATGAACGCTGAAAACGTCCATGTTACCAGTGCGTGCGCATGGCCAGAGCATGCATGCCCGATGATAACGTCCATATCAATTTTGTGGGGGGGCCCAGGCTTTGCTTCTACACATTTGAGTTTTTAGGGTTTGGGGTTGTTCGGGGTTTGTGGATGGGGGGGGGGGGGGGGGTTGTTTGTTTTTTCGGTTTTGGGGTTCGGGTTCCTTTTCCCTCCCAACGACGAGATGGACTCCTTGACTGCCCCTTGAGGGTTCAAAAATGTGGACTCCAGGGCTAGGCCTAAGATAGAAAGGGGGGGTCTTTCTGGAGGGGCAAAATAGAGAACCTGGACCCGAAAACGAAAGGAAGAAGGGCCTACGTACTCTGGGTCCGAATATCGGGTCCTTATCATAGGGGCTGATGGACCCAGTCATCCTTGACCCTTGAACACCCAACACACTACGAACCCTGATTCCTGGGGTTGCAAATTGAGGTGGGCCGGGGATTTCCACAAAGCCCTGAATCCTGAACCCTAAACCCAAACTAAACCCTAAACCCTAAACCCTCAACGCTCTGCCCTATACTGCAAGGGAATAGTTCGAAACACATGCCCGTGGACAAGCCACGCCTCGCCAGTGGGGTCCAGGCCTGCATGCGCTTTTGTCGGTTGAATTCTAAGTGTCTGTAAACCCCCAAAGGGTTTAGAGTTTAGGGGTTAGGGTTTAGGGTTGGGGTTTAGGTTTAGAGTTTAGGGGTTAGGGTTTAGGGTTGGGGTTTAGGGCTTCCCTAAACTCTAAACCTCCAAGTCCCCAAACCTAAACCCTAAACCCCCTCCGACTGAACCCTAAATCCCAAGTCCCTATAAGCCCCATATCGTCTATTGAAAGTCGTGGGCGTGGCCTAGAAAGCGCGGATGCCACGCGTGTGACCGCCAGGGAGCACGTTCCCGCTGCGGCTTCGTGTCCTTGAAGGGATCCCAAGCTCTAAACGCTAAACCCCTACCAACTATCTACCTTTTGTTGTACTATTGCAATAAAACCCTTTATAGGATTCTCAGGCAACTTACAAAAAAGTAGGTTTTTGGTTCTTAGGGTTCTTCAAGTGTAAGGCTTAAGTATCCCTAAAGGACTCTTACTGTGGCCCTCTTGTTCCCTTTAGAAAGGCTTGCTACTAGGGCCCTGTATTCAAGGGTGCAAACTTAAGGGGTTTACCTTGGGAGGAGGGGAGGGGTGCTTGTAGCTTTGGGGTTCAGGGGTCTGCCTTGTGAATTAACGCCGCCATGCGTTTCTGTTGTGCTCTGAACCTCTTTACAAGACTGGGGGGGCTTCTTGGCCCCCTCAACCCTGAGCCCTGCACCCGAAACCCTTGCCCAGCGAGATGAGGTCAGACTAAGGACCGCAACCCCAAACTCTCGCAACCCTGAGCTCTGAACCACTCGGGGGTCCAGCAACTGGCGCCGCTTCTGGGTTAATGAGTGGTCGTCAGCCACAGAAAGCTCCTTGGCCCATTCGGGTTTAGGGGCATGTCGCAGAACTCTGGTTTCAGGA